CTCTCTCCCCCCCCCCCTCAGTTGCAATGAATAACAGTTCATTAAAATCTGTTCAGAGCAGAGGAATCTGTTCCAGAGTTGCCCTACTGTGCTGTTCTCCATCTCAGTTGCTTTGGAGGGCAGTAGTAGACATCTGTAATGCCTGTAAGGTGTTAAAGGGTGCAGTTCCTACAGCTGTTATGCTGGCAGCGAATAATACTCCATTCTGTCTGCAAGTGTTGTCCTATGAAGCTCTCCTTGCAACCATAGCAGGTTTCAGCCAAGGGCAGCTTTCCTTGCGTCTTTGGCCCTAAGCTTGAGCAGTGTGCACCATTGTGGGGTGTAGTGTGTATGGTGGTTGGCTTTCCTCTTTGTTTACGTGCACAAGCATCAGGCAATTCCCACTTTTGAAAACTTGGTCTAATTTCACTTGCAAATATAAAGCCATTGTAACTTAAATGTGGAATCTGACTCAGTAGCCAAACATGCGAGTGTCAGAATTCTGACCTCAGTTGCAGGCATGGCTGGCACCTACTCACACAGTATTTCAGAGCTGAATGTGCTCTCAGCATGGCCCAGCTACAGATCCCATGAGAAATTAATGAGAATTCCCACAGTATATTAGTGTGAGGTTTTTCCCCTTGTCCTCCTCCCCGCTACATCTTTGCAGTGAGCAGCTCTGTAGCTCTCAGGGTGCAACAGGATGGCTTTTGTTTTGACAGTGCATTGTGCATCTAACAGTCTGCCTGCTATGTGGAGGGATCCTTTCTAGCTCTGATGCCTGCTCACAGTAGGGTAGCATGTGTTGTCTGAAAGACCTCTTGCTGGTTGGTACTTTGTCTTGCATGAGCGATGCCTGCCTGGGCTCTTCTTGGGTTTTGGTTTTGTAGCCTCTCTAGTAAGAACAAAGATGTTTCTCTCTAAAAACATAAAGCTGATAGGTTTCCCCTTGCTTTGTGCAAGCAAAGATAAATCAGACTTTTATTTATAAAGAAATTCTGTCAGCATCCCCATCCCAGCTACTGTAACTTTCACTCATCAGCTTACTGCTTTCTTTTCTTTTTCCACTATTTTCTGTGCTTAGCATAACTTTGAATCTTAGTTGGTATTCTACACCTCAGAGTTAGTTTTCTTATTAGAAAGTATCTACCTGCCTGTGCCATAAGGAGGACCACTGTTACTCAGGTGATTAGGTTTCCCCCCCCCCCCATCATTGAATAATGTGTAAAACCTAGTACTAAGAAAAAACTTGTGGAAAAATTAGTGGGAATGGTGCGTATCAGGATGTGTTGGCTTATAAACCCTTCAGACATTGACTATGAGTATTCCTATTTCTTTGCCATTGTGGTATTGCAGTGTAGGACAGCTTCATTGCTGAGGACTTGAGATGCAGCTGGGGAATACTTGGAAACAAACACAGCTGAGCTGGGAGATAATCCCTAACAGGGAGGAGAGAAACATGATACCTGAGCTCTTCAGGGAAAAATGGAAAGGTGAGCAAGTGTAAAGAACTGTTAATACATCTTCCTGCAACTGGATAGACAGAATTCATTGGAAATGGCCTTTCAACAGGAGCAGAGACAGGAAGGAAGGACAGCAGTGTGACATTCTCAGGTGGCACTGTGCCTGCAGTTCTTCTTGAGGTGGGAGTGCTGATAGTGACCTGGAAAGGCAGACTTTAATTGCTTTCATTTTGACTCCAAAGTGATGACAAAATAGTTTTTACAGGAGTTTATGCCTGCATCTGGCAGCAGTTTCACCTCACAAGTATCGCTTGGAACCAGCTAGGAATTTCACTGTGCCCTTTAATAGGGTTACTTTAATACTAGCTTCCAAACAGCATTATAATTTCATTCTTGATTTGTAAAAGATGCTTTTGTTCTGGAGAATAGGAGCCAGGTTGCATCAGTGGTTGCAGAAAGATCTGATCTTAAGGCTAAGTTGCATTGCAGGTGGGGAGGCAAACGAGAAGCTTGGGGGTGGCTTTGTAAATCAGCAGTTGGAAAACACTCTTCTCCATGGTTGCAACATGTCTCAAAGTCTTATAAGCTAGCCGGTGTCTTTACGGTTGATGTCATGGATGTGGTTGATTTGGTTTGTTTATGTATTTGTAACTTGCATTAGCAATAATAGTTCTGCAATCCTTTTGAAAACACTTTGTAAATATGGTGGAGCTGCAGGTTCTTTTCAATTCAATAAAGTCACCTGAAATAGAATTTCATTTGGCTTCAGTCTGTCTCCTTTCTACTGCCTTCCACTTTCTATTTCCTTTCGAGCATTGATTGGTAAATAAAGCTGGCCCTGAGCTACTATGAGGCTGTCTTCTTTCAGATGTTATGAAATCGCACGACACATGAAATGAACTGATGCCATTTCAATTGGGGAATAAAATAGTGTTAGAGCAAACATGCTGTCCCACTCACACATGTGAAGAAGCTGCACTGGAAGGAACCATGTACCTGTTGGAAACTCCAAGGGGATGTGGTTGGGAACAACATGTTTAAACATACTCTGTGTTTAGTTCCGGAACACTAGAACTAAGTAAATGCTTATGATGTTTAGTATTGTTTCCACCCACCAAATAAGAGATGTTATTATATGATGGTCTGTCTGAAAATATAGCTCAAGGATACACTCCACAACATGCTTTGGTGTCAAGCAGGGTTCTCACTCCAGTGGTAAGTGTGTTGTCTCCAGCTTCCTGGGCACTCTGTCCTTGAACTTTATGCAGGTGGTCTTGGATAGTAGGAGGAAGAGAGGCAGAACATGGACCTGAAAATGATAGGACATTCATGTGAACAAACAAGGAAGAAAAATATGTGGTTGAAAACAAAACCACACTGTGGAAACTTGACTTTTTTTTCTTTTGCAAGGCAGCTGTTTGATGGCCATTTGCACACTGGTACTGCACATTTTGGTGCTGACACGGTTGTTCTATGATGCTGTTCTGACCACAAGTCACCTCAAATACTGTGTCTTAGCTAAATTCTTACTTGCATGAGTGCCTCTGGCTCTTCCTGAGTCATCTCCACTATTTCCTGTGTCAGGAAAAGATCATATAAATGGTGGTTTGGCTGAGCTGTGCTTACTCTTTATGCAGGAAAAACTGGACTGCAAGGGGGAGGGTGCTGTGATCGGTTTGGAGGCTGCACAGCCTAGGGAGTTGAGGACTGTTTGGCCATTCATGATGCTTGGTAAGTGCCTCGCTTGTCTCCCGTGCAGCCACCACGTCTCCCCTGCCTGAAGTCCCCTGAGTAGTGAAGAAAACTCATAGGAGGATAACGTTCCTGCTCAGGAAAGCTCTGAGCTATGGTAGGGTAGGGACAGGCTGCAGAGATTCAAATCTACAACTAAAAGGTTTGGAGAGGAGAAACCTCCTGCTTGAAACCTATGCAGACAGGTGTTGCTGCCTCTTCCTTCTGCTGTGGCGACCAAAGGTTCTGGTGCTGGCAAATATGAGGAAGAACTTGACTTCTAGCAGCAGGTAGAGGAGAAAACTTCCTTCTCCTGTGTAGAAGCTAACTACAGCAGCAATGCAGAAGGTAGGTTAACTACAGCAGGAAGGTAGAAGCTGACTACAACAGGACTGCTAGCCTGTCTCCTAGCTGTTGGCCTGCTAGTAACCTCCCAAGCCTTCTTGGGGCTATTGCACCACGTTTTAGCAGAGGTGTTGCCACTGCTTTATAGTAAAAGGGAGAGGTGGAAGGAAAGCATCAAATCCTGCTCTTAAATCATGCTGATGAAATGGAGGAGGGCAGCAAGTATCAGACTGTAGACATTACTGTGCTGTAAAGTCAAGCTCAGTGTGGTAAAGTGGACCCAGAACCACTTCTGAATGCTGATTTTTTTGGAAGGGGAGCTGGAACAAGAGTCAGGGATGGTGGCACAGATGCTGCCACAACAGTGTCAGGCATTAGTGTCCCTAGTGCGACCCCCGGACGGGGCACTAGCCTTGGAAGTGCTGTGTCTGCCAGGAGGTTTCCTTAACACAATTGTGTTTTTCCTTGACCTCCTCCAGCTACTCTTTTCCAGTAGTACATATATAAGCTTGGGACATTTCTGTCTGTTCTGCCTGGCACTTGCTTAGAAGTGTTATGTAGCTACTGGGCTAGAGAAGCTGTGTAAGCCCTGGCAACAGCAGTAACTTCAGTAGATGCTGTGGGGTTTTGGGGGCCTCACAAGTCAAGGAAGGCAATTGCTGGTTGCAGAGCCGGTGAGTTTTGCTGCCACCTTCCCAGTCAGCTGTTTTTAGCCATTTGGGGCAAGCAGCACAATATAATTCCATGGTGGACCCTGATACTGCCAGAGCTATAAGGGGAAGTCTTGCGTTCTTTTTTTCAATTGAAGGTTAAAACTGTTTCCTCTCTCTGCTCTGGTGGCTTACCTAGCAGAAGCAGCAGTACTGGCAGGGAAGGGGGTACATTTGCTATTAATCCCATGCTGCAAATGAAGGGTGCCTTGCTAGAGCGTCGCACAGAAAATTCCCCTTGCCTGGCAGGTGCTGGAGAGGCCCTCGAGGCTGCTGTGGTGAGGTGGTGCGATGCTGCAGATAAAGCCGAGCTGCTGCCCCCGTCCAGCTCCATGGCGCTGCAGCTGCTCCCGAATGCCACCGATCACGGGGCCCAGGGCTGGAACAGAAGGCAGCAGGTAATGGCTCAAGGAGGAGCGGGCCGTATCCATATACCCTCCAAGTGTCTTTAAGGTCCAAGCAGACGCTCTTGACAAAGACTGTGATCGCAGACTTGCAGAAATGCAAGTAGACAACAGGTGGAGCAAGTGCATTGTGGAAAGGATGCGTGGAAAATGAGGAAGACTTCCATGCTCCGATGCGCGCGTAGGCAGA